GCACTCCTATCGGCAGACCTCGATGAGAGGGAATCAGTATCGGACCTCAGAAACCTTCCTTCCAACTCCACGGATCGCGACCTCCCCTCAACCGAGCAGCCCAGGCCGTCTCAACCCCCCTCAGTGTAGTCCCTGGGCTTCTGGCATCCTCACCGGAAAGTTGACACCCATCCTAAAAACACTCCATCAATCCTCTCACTTACGGTCGACCGCTATTTTGCCATCGCCTCTTTCGTCTGTCTCTTGGCTTTTCTCGTTTATATTCCTTTTTCGTTACCTCAAATGTTCCCGCTACATAAATAATTGCCAAGCGAAGGATTTGTCTAAGCCTGACCTCCTCCGATTTCGATGCTAATAGACATTGATAGAGGGGCTTTTCTTCCTATTTTATTTCGCTATTTTCTATCTGTCTATTTTTGTTCTTTTTCTTTACTCTTTCCCTTCTAGGGGTTCCGGTTAGACTTTGTCTATACTATCTTCTTTCTTGCTGCTCTTCGTTCTTATTATTCGTTAATGTTTGTCTTGTCTTTTCCGGGCGATGGTGTATAGCGTGGCCTGTTATAGACAGCGGGTAGGAATAGACACTAAGATTTAAGTACCCCCCTCATGCCCTCAGGTTGCCAGTTTATCTCCTCCCACGAACCTCTTTCAAAACCCCCAATTTATGGCCATTAATTTCTTCCACTAATCACCTATCATACTACTATACTACCGCTAGTTAAGCTATACTCCATCACGTAAGTGCCCAAATTTGTGAAATAAAACCCTAACCCTGGCTCACTGAATATGTGCGTTTTTGATGCGATATCATACAAGCAAGTCGGCATACTTGCATCAGCAAGGGGGTGAGGACGAGCCTGGTGTGGTGCGATCTAGTGCGCAGTAAGTGAAGCAGCTACCCCAGATCAGCAACTCTAGTAGGAGAATTCGACAAAACTGGGACATGGTTCCCACGAGCGGGAAACAAAAGGATCAAAGCAGAGTTTATCCGAGTAAGCAAATAGAAAATGTCGGGGAAACCCGGGAAAATCGGCTGCCCCTTTTTTTAATTCTTCCGAGGACGAGATTGACATCAGCAACCTAGGAAGCTCTGGTGAAGGCATTTGGTGCTGAGTGTACTGGCCTTTCCTATCGTTCACCGGGGGTGTTCGTAAGCCTGCTGAGTCAACACGTCATGTGATAATCGTCACAGTTTTCCAAGATAACCAAGAGCATAAGAGGGACGGATGGCCGGGCGAGTATCATCGGAATTATAACCAAAACAAGGGCCTCTAAAGAGCTAGAAACCCTATAGGTCTGATGTTGACGGATTGTGATAAAAGACAAGAAAAAGTCTAATTTGTCATATATCACACCTTTTCTTCTATGATGGTGCCAACTCCATAAGTTGTGGAAAGCAACTGCCTTTTGAAAAACTCTGGAGGAAGAGTTTCCGGCAGGAGGGAATCTGTCTTCAAGTAGTTTTTTTCGAATCCCATTTGTGGACAAAAAGGAGAATGCACACACCACTACCTGTATTCACTTCGGGTATCGGATCTGATTATTTCTCTCTCCTCCTTCTACCCCCACAACAACGATGCATTCCTAAGACGCCAAACAAGACAAGGGGGGAGAGGAAGAATGCAAAAAAAAGATGAGAAAATGGGGTTCGGCAGGCATTTCCAGACTGGTTGGAAATATAAGAGAAGGCATCCGGTAGTCCTTCCGATGGTAAGCACACTTCGCGAGGCAACCACGTGCCATTGAGAAGAGCCACATATGAGACTAACTTAGACGTTCCCTCGTTGTCCTTTCAGGACAGTAATATCTCAGTATGATAGTCTCCGGATACAACAGTCGGCCTGACAAGGTGTGGTAGTGGTTTTCAGGAGCAGAGGTAGGACTATGGGTAGTGGTGAGGGAGTGGAAGATGTGGGCTGGTAGGGGATGCTGGAGGTATAGTATCCACGCGGACACATACATACTAGGCAGGACACGCCATCTCCCCCTGTACTAGCACGGGGATTTTTCCTTCCATAAATTTCCCTCGTTTCTGTACTTTTACCTCTAATATCCTCTCACCTTATTGAGAAGCTTCTCGCTCCTCACAGAATTATTCTCTTGTCTTTTGTACCCTCTTTCTCTCAACTCCGCTCCGCCCCCAATTTAATCATTTCCATTTTCAACAGAAGAAGGAGGGGGAGAGGCGAGTGATGCTTCATGACTAGTTCCTCACCTACATCTATTCTGGAAACTGGGCGATAGGGGCGAATGAGCTGTTTTGATCTCATTGATGAAGTATTTAAACACATCATTGATTTAGGGATAAATTTTCGGCTTGTAATTGTGGTCTTAAAATGGTGGCCCCTTTGGGCGCGTTCGAAAATCTAGAGATGTAATGCTAGGATGGTAACTATATCCTGAGCACTATAGGGTTATGAAGTATTTGTCGAGAGGGGGAAGATGGGGTGAGCCCAAGTTCAGTGGACTTACGAATGGAATTCACATTCCGAGTGATGGAATAATCAAGCACTGTGCTATTGTGAGAGGTGCTAGAAATGGTAGAAGAAGAAAAGAGAGATTATCAAATTTATCATCGGTTGTCGTCGGTTGGGAAAGTTACGAGAATATTTTGCGGGTGTTTTCACGTCCAAGTTAGGGTAATTTACCAAGGAGGTCCTCCGGACGTGTCTTTCTTTAGTTACCACAGAAGTATCATACTAAAGAGAATGGAGATATGCATTGAGGAAGACGAGCACATGAAATGTTGGTGTTGACATCTTTTCGGTCAAGGAGTAGCTTCACCGCCCCTCCACATCCTTCTGAGACCCACAAGAGTGATGTTGGGCATTTTTGTCCGGTATGTCGGCGCTAGAATTATCTCGCTCTAGTAGTGGCTCCACTACTCCTGCGTCCACATTACTGGAAGCCTATGAGTGGGTGTCCGGCCTCCTTTGTCTGGAATATCGGGATATGGCCTCTCGGGGAGCTGGTTGGCTACAAATGCATGCCCATACGTAGAGAATAATGCTGCGGAGAGAGGTTGACCAGTTAGCTAGAGTTCCGGAGTGCAGGATGTTGGCTTAAGAATGTTTCAACGACGGTATTCCACCTTTCTTATTTTATCTGGTTCGACACGCTGGCCTTGAAAACCTTTCCATCATAGATATTTCATTTTCTTTTACTTTAATCAGACCAATCAAGCGATCACCTCAGATCTCAATCTAATTTATTCTCCTTTCCTTAAGTCTCTCCTTTTTACTGTGTAAAACCTCCGACATGACCATTGCCTCCATTTCGACGACCGTTTTTCCCATTTTTATCACCATCCATTCCCAAACATCCACACTCCCACGCATAACTACGAATTAACCGATAACTCCAACACATAGGTTTGGTGAGGTTCCGTGTTACCAGAGAAAGTAAAGTTAAAGTTATTAGGTACATCGAGGGAGCCAATCTTATCTCTGAAAACTAGGAACATTCCGTGCTTTTAAATGTTGAGAGGGGAGTGGAAAAACGGGGCGTCGAAGGACCTAGTGCCGGTGAGCTTGGGCTCAATATGTTGAATTCCTGGGATCCCAACAAAGCCTATCATAACTTCAACATTACTTGCAGCCCAGCTGACAGCCCATAGCCCAGAAAAAACTCTTTTCAAAAATTCTCGGGGGTCTACTTGCCTTACGGTAGACCATTAAGTTGGTATTGTACTCAAGAGTTCCCTGAAAGGCCCCATCCAATGCTAATTAATCAGGGACTGGATTTGATGGAGCGGTACCCCCAGAGACTCGTATTGTGGGTGCTGAGAGCCTCGTTGCCGTTTAGAGTGAGGGGAAAGAGGGGCCTTAAATATTAATAGTTCTCTACTGGGTAAGGGGTTCTTTTCGGGAGTTGGCATCCAGACAAACTTCACAACACCTCGCCGAACAAGGGATAGTATTCCGGGATACTGAATGCGGTTGCGTTCAGAATCTCTCTTGATAGTGGTTCTCGCCGTTCCAGGATTTGGCCAAAATGGGCCGGGGCCAATGTGGGAAGGTAGAGGCAATTGACTAAGATTACCTTTCAGCGAAAACAAGAACGGGCGGATGAGATGAAGGTGAAAATAGAAAGTTGGAGATTTTTTCTCTCAAGAACTAAAATCTTTCCATAAACTACGGTGTCTATTTCTCCGGCCCACACGGTTCGCCTCTCTCTCACAATCTCCTAACACGCCTTGAGCTGGGGTAGCCCCCTTATAGTGAATCAATGAATTGTCCAAGACGAAATGTGGGAACCCTATTATGAAAACGCGTGTTAACAACCCTGAGTCCACAACCATAGCTGACAATATAGCAGTCTCCGGTACACCACAATTACCAGCCATACTATAAGCGTCGTTTACTACACGTAGTCCACACCTTTTTGCTGCAATAATCGCAATTCTGGGGGCTTCAAGTATGATAGATAAAATGTCTGAATAACAAGATAACCAAGCGTATACACGGATGCCGATATCCTAGAAACAAAATGGTTACAAATCCTTAAGTATATCATATCAAAAGGATAGCTTGCCCTTGATATTCGGGTTGAAGACTTTCCCTTCACAACATCGTGCCCACAAACCATAAAAACGAGAATGAGAGGGGCAATATGGCTGTTTCTGAACTTCCCATAAAATTCTCTATTCCGCGCCGCCCGACCCGCGCCTCTCATTACAGTGTATGCGAGGGTACTTAGCTCCTCTTGTTTCGACCAGGCACTCCCGCTGTGTCGACAAAATACCCGAATGTTGATTTGATGTTGAATGGTCTTGTAGGTCTATCCTCTGTTCCATAATCAGGGTCTTCCTGCTATGTGGTGTTGTGTATATTTGTTGTAGGGATGTGTGCGTTATGGGCTAAGCTGACAAATAGTTGTGGAGAAATGGGCTGGCCTTGTGGACATGACCAGCGAAGTGATAGAGCCGAGATCCTTTAATTTCTAGACAGGCAGCCACCAGAGGCGGCTTAACAGCTTTCGAAACTCTCCTAGGGTATGACAAGTGATGGAGGAATGGAATCCGTTATTTATGGATTACGGGGGATTGGACCAGACAGTCACCAAGTTGCGGACAGTCACAAAGTTACGGAATTTCTTCGATTTTCCCACAGAACCCCGACAAATAGGAACGGGTATAAAGTCCCACCACTTCTCTCTCTTTTCCTCCCCTGCCCTCTTTCCTCCTCACAATCGGTCTCCTCCAATCTTTTCACTTGACTTCGATACAACTGCTCCCAATGACCTCGAGCTCGACAAACACCTTCCCCTCTCTTTCCCAACGTAACTTCGAAACGTTTTGCCTTCGGCGTATCACCCTCTTCTTCTACCTTTTCTTCTCCCTCGTTTCTGCCTCGGGAATTATCGTGCGTGATGTCAAGAAGATTACCGACTCTCTTAGTGCAGAGGGAAGCGCTATGAGAAACTTGACATACCAAACTGATGCTTTCACTAGCAATAACTGCTCTGTTCTCGGCGCGCTTCTCATCCAAACTATTCTAGTTGAGAGAAATATCAATCAAGTGGTTATGGATATCTCACGACATTATGGTTCAATCTCTGACGCCGATTGCTCCAAGGTTAAGGCGGAAATCTCGAACATGCTTCCAGCTCATGCAAGTGGGCTCTATCAGGCTACTTCTAAAGTACATCCCCATCTTCCACAATTTAAACTTTGTAAATACTGACTGATTGATTGTAGAAACCTGATTTTGTTGCGTGCGGAGTGACCACTAGGCTGATCCAAAGTCAAATGGTGGACATGAGGGCTGGCACTGCCTTTATATTCGTGGGCCTTGGTCCCAAGGTTTCTGGTACTTGCAGTAACGATATTACTGCTCTTGGTAGCCTGCTTCTCGGCTATTGGGATTCGGCCATTGCAGATTGTTGGTGATTTATTCCGCTTGGTATAGATTTTGGGATAGCCAAGCTAACTGTAGCAGATAATGAACGAGAACAAATGGGCATTTGGGGGGTTTTTGAGGATATTATCTTTGGATGGATGTGACGGCGCTTGCGGTGGAAAAGGGTGAAGAGCGTTTTCCTACGATTTTATTTATATTTTCTATATCTTATCTTCTGCATCATAGATCATGTTCCCTGTGTTCATCAGAGATAGGGTAAAATTTATGAGAGAGATTTTTTACTACAAATCTACAATATGTCTGGCTTTATAAAACAATAATTATTATAGACATGTGCCTTTCTTCACTTGTTAGGTTTGACAAAATAAATATCTACTCATTCTTTTGTCACTCCCTGTTGCTCCTAAATAGAAGTGAATATACCAATACTCTGGCATTTCTCCTGCATACTTCACATTTGTGCTGTTGGGTTCGCTGCCCGGGGAAGGGGCCACGACGTCAAACGTCAGCCCCCAGTTAAAGGCATACCCCCTTCTTCGCCGAGCTCGCAGTTTCCACTTTCCCTTGACAGGATCGGGCTATAGCAACGTCAGACTATCTCCCGGAGGGAAATTGAGCATCCTGAGGTGGGTTATGGCTCGCCAGTTTGTTTACCAAATACTTGGGTTGAGTATTTTTTTTTCCTTTTTAACCATTTCTACAATCGTGCTTGCGTCTACTGCCTATAGCTTTTCGAGACTCTCAGGTATGGGTAGGTGACTTCAAGCCCGAGTTACCTTCGATAATGGACCGCGGAGAAACAATAATACTGTTTTTTTTGGGGAAAGGGAAAAAGGGAAAAAACCAACCCGGGAGAGTCTCTCCCGAAAATGACGCTTTGAGTATGGTACACATCCGATACGAACTTTGCAGTTTGAATTTAACCCACTACAAACATATATTCGATGCATTCCCCAATAAGACCAGCGCATCGGCGAGCACCAAATATGAGACACGAAAATATAATCCAAACCTGACAGATGAACCAAGATAGGCCACTAAGCAGCCTTTTTCAACCTCGACTCCCAGCCTAATCTCATGCTTGAAACCGGGAATAAATAATCTCCTTCCCCCTCCCGACAGCCCAAACAACCAACATACATACCTACCCAAAAAGAACCACAACGCACAACCCACACCCAGAAAATTCCCCAACTATCGAAAAAAAAGCAAAAACACAAGCAAAATGCCAAACCAAACAAACACTACCCCCCAATCACCGCGTCCAGCGGGTAGCCATACCTTCCTGCGCGTCCTCTCGACACACCCGGACGAGCTCCGAGTGCTGGTCGAAGTGTGGACAGCGGCCCTGGCAGATCCGGAAACACCGGCGCCCGAGCTTCGGAGGATCAACGCCAATGTTCACCTCGTTGGCTGGGGATTGATGGAGTTGCGTGAGACTGTAAGGGCAAGGATGAGGGCTTTGGAAGCCGAGGGGTATGGGAGGGGGGGCGCGGCATTGGCAAGAGAAATGAGAGAAAGACAGCGCGAAGGTATAAATTAACTGTTTTCCTGGGAGGGTATCATAATTGAATTTTAGGTTACGGTGGATTGTGCAATTTTTTTGTGTCGTATCATGTCGTAGACAAGGACGAATACAGCGTCACTGGTAAGTTAAACCCGGCCAAGGAAGGCAAATAATTTTTGGTATAATGCTGGTGTAGTAACCCACCAGCCGTTTGTAAGCGACAAATTCTCCGTCAGAGTGCAGTCGTACAATACCGCGGCTGCTCCACGAGAAAAGGAAATAAAAACTGCCTCAAAGGGAGATGTTCACAATCTTTAGTACGAGCTTGGTGCATGGATATAGCATCTCTCGGTATAGTAGTGTTTGTCGAATGTTCCAACAGAACATACACCCCCGCAATCCCGCCCTTTTGGAGGGGACCGGTGGTTGCGGGCGGGGCTAAGGGATAGAGCCCAGCGACTAAGTTCCGGCACTCTTGTCCCTACGATAATCAACCGTGATTCCGAAACTCTCTTGCAGGAAAATCTCTGGCTACATAATAACATTATTAAGGAAAAGGTAATGGAGTAATCCCGATAGCAGGCACACTGGAGCATGTGTGGTTGTGCGGAGACAAGAGCAGTTGCCCCGCAAGGGAGGATGCAAGTTAGCATTATATGACATTGTGTTTGAGTGTGCACTGCCTCTTGGCATACATATCTTTCTTTCTATACCTCATTATAATCAGTCATCCATCTCTCCTCCTAGAACAGACACGCTTTCATCTCTTTTTGAGCCAGCCATCACAACTTCATCCACGACGCACGTTTTCTCTTCTTCGGATCGTATCATTATCAAAAATTTCGACACTTCTCACTTTAGCCAAAAAAGCGGTTCTCGAGCTCTTACTTGTTTCTTCCTTCTCCTCTCTCCCGGTAGTGCCTTCTACACGTTTCTAGGTTAAGGTCTCTTGTCCGTTAAGCTGTAGGATCGAGTTGACAATATTCATTCATTTTGGCAATAAATAAGGACGCTGGAAGGGAATGAACTTCTCTTTTTAGCCCTAGGTGGAGATATAGAGCTTTTCGCCGGGAGTCCAGCTTTCTACATTTTGTCAGCTTGTGGATTAAAGCGCGATTTGGCATGTGTGATACCTCTGGTGGCGACTTGAGACCAAGGGGGAGATAGAAACAATTCATTGGTAGACCTTCTCACCGCCTAGTAGGAAGTTATACCAGCCCTAGATCTTCCAGCAAGTCAATCGCTAATGAATAATAGACAGATCTCAGAAGAAACATTCCCAAATACATGTTGGCTGTGCTGTTTCTCTTGCTCTTAGTTTGTACTTTCTTTCCCCCGCGCTCCACCCCGCCGGGCTCGCCAGCGCGGCCAATTCCTTATATTTTGATGAATTCCTCTTCCGAAAAATTTCCACAATGCGATTCTAGTAGCAGCGACACCACCGCATGTGGTCCAGATTCTCACGAAAATTTCCCCCTCAAACATCCCCCAAATATAGGGGAGCTATGCAAGCTGTCGAAGCGAAGTTATCAACCTTGAAGGGCTAGGCGAAAGAGGAAAATATAGCGGTTCTCTCTAACACATTCCCGGCGACCCCCTCCCCCGGTGCAGTTCATATTCCGCTATACCTGACCGGCTAATTAGAGAAGCTCCTAGAGTGGAATGTTTAAGGCTAATAACATCAGCTAGTGGTTTTCAGTGCAGGGGAATTGGGCATTATTGACAATAGGGGAAGAGATGATCCTACTAAAGAGGAAAGCGGTTAGGGGCATAAAAAAAGTAGAAAATAAATATACTTCCCTCCCGACCCCAGACACTTTTATGTTCTCGTAGTTCGAACATCATCAAGTCACTCGGTGGGTCAATAATGGAGCCGACACAATCAATCACGTGCTGCTAAACTAGGGACGGTATCTGAGTGATACAGTATGATAACCCGTTGGATCTAAAGAAGCTATTCCGATTAATTTGAAAACCAAACCCAATACCGGAAACCAAGGGGCTGTTTCAAACCATAAGTTTGCGACGCTTATATGAGGAAACCGACCAATAAGAACCCCCAAAATCGATTATATAAGCGTCCCAAATCACTACTCGAAAGCCCAACCTCGTCTGCTCCATACAATCGCTAATCCTATACATCACCACAGAATATGCCAGGCTCAAGCAACAGCTTCCCGCCCAGCACCAGGGCTAGTATTGTGGGGGCTCGCTATCGTGGGGGGGGAAAACCAGGTTTATAGAGGTTTCCGATGTAAATTTCTATCTTTGTGTTGTATTTAGTGCTCCAAGGGTTTTGGCCAAGTAACTGTTGTGGGAGATGTTTGTGGGAGCAAACTTTCTAGAAGTGTACATAACATAAGGGTCTCTCTCCTCATCTCTCTTTAGATTCGGACCAACGCGGAGACGAAAAGGACGAACACACGAGCGAACGAAAAACACGAAGTGCAAGGGAGGGGACGAGCACGTATCGATCTTTAACGATAATTGTTTTTCTCTTCTAATCTGTTTGCTTCTTTCGCTCTTTTACTTGGCGATCCTGTGATGTCTTTCCAACCTTACTATTTCCTCGTTCGGACGGGTGACGCTCTTTCGTTATTTATCCAAGAAAACAATAGAAAATCACCGAATCATGTTTTCTACTTTCTACCGTAACTATAATAGGGCAGAGAACTTGAGCAGAGTAACACACAGGGTCTAAGGACCTCAAAGCAAACTCATGAATAATCCTCGAGCCGGTGAAAACACCAACTAAACTCCCGATGAAAACGTATCTACAAAATATTTTTTTACTTAACCCATGAAGAATGTCATCCCAGGCCACCGCTACCCCCACCTACCGGGTCCCGAACGGCCCCCCTCGTGCCACACATGATCATAGGCTGGGGTGGAAGTTTTCCATGCTCGGCTTGATAGGGCATTAGCTATCTCCGAGGACCCGAACACCGCGGTTTAGTAGCGCGATATGATGTTCTCAAGTTGCGCTGTGTAGATGTGTTTGCCAATTTTCCAACGCTAAGAAACTGAGATAAGGAAATACTGGGAACAGCATAAAGGAAAACCCAAGTAACAGGAAAGTACAACGCCAAAGGAGAGTTGAGCGATACAGCAGCTTGACTCATGATACCGAGATTCCACTGGCAGAGGCTTTGGTGAGGTTGTCGCTGCCCTTGCCCGGGGAGATCGTTACGACCGATATCTCCAAATCAAGGCAGGCTATCGGTTGGGAGCCTGAGTTGGCCTGCCGTTCGGTCGGTAACGACTCCCACCCAGGTCCAGGCAGGCTGATATGTAGCTAATGGGTGCGGCGCTGGCCTACCTGGAAGCGCTTTGATAGAGATATTCGCTCCTGGCTTGAGTACTCAATGTACCTCTTATATGCATTGGAACGCCAGCGCCCCAGTGTTTGGATTTCGCTTTCAGAGATTCCTACTTCTGCTGCCCATGTGGCAGCTCCTCTACGGAAACTGTGTCCATTCCACATCCCCTGGCCGAGTCCAGCATTGAGTGCTAGTTGTTGAAGCTTTAGTACTACGTACTCACGGGTGAATGCTTGTTGTCTCTCTGTTCCGATACAGAACAGTGGTGCATGGGGTGGTCTGTGTGTATCCAGGGCGAAGAATTCTCTCATAGCATATATCGGACATGCCATATCATAGGTTGCGGCTATTGTGAGGTTTATCCCTTTGCGAAAAGGGTCTGTTTTTGATGCTGGGAGTATCACTTCCATATATCGCCCGCTGGCTCGTATCACGATACTACCTTTGGTCAAAAACCAGTTTGAGAAGGTTGGGCCCAAGTCTCTATCTGCCTGCTTGTAGGTAAATTCTCCGACTTGCAGGAATCCTGCGAATGCTAGGGTGAATGCAGCCTTGAGAGCTAT